GGCCCTCAGTCCGACTCAGATTTGGGGTCTGTCACTGAATCAGATGTGGACTGTCCTGTGGACGCAAAACCCTGCAAGCGGAAAATGAAAGGAAAAGCAAAAGTAGTCAGCAAAGGGAAGCCTTTGCCCGCCCACACGCCCCAGGGCGCCAGGCGGCAGAGGCAGAGCAAGCGGCCCCGGCTGGACGCGGACGACGACTGGGAGGACTCGGACGGCGCCAAGCCCAGCCGGGTCCTGCGGCGGTCCAAGATCAAGACCCGCAACCAGGGCAGAAGGACCGTGCGGTACCATGACGGGGACGACGAGAGGGCGTAGACGGCGCGGTAGGCTTGGCGGTCGCCCCTTGTGGCCCGGGGCGGCGCTCCTTGGAAGAGGGGTGCACTGGACTTGATGGCGAAAGCCGGTGGTCGGAATTATTTTTTGTCCTACAATTCAGGGAATATATTTATATTTTTCTATGAAAAGTGATGAATGTGACTAAATCATGACTGTTATTTTTATTTGCACGTGCTTGCCTTTGTAGCAGCGTCCAGCACAGGTGCCAAAACTGCTCCCCGGGGCAGACCTGCTCGCCGGCGTTGGCCGCACCGGGAGCCCGGCCTGGGCTAACACTAACACCCTCCGCGGCGGCCTGCGGCTCCTCTGAATTCCTAGTGGCGGCTGTCTGCCCCTGTCCTGTCACGGGTGACACTCTCACAGGACCATGTTTACAGAGTCTTTGAGGACGTCGTGTGCACAGGACAGCCGTCTGGGGAGACGTGGCCGCGAGGGCCAGACCCTGCCCCGGGCACCCCGGCCTCGCGGTCAGGTGCGCGCTCCCGGATTCAGTCATTTTCTTTCCAAATGCTGTTGGCTCTTCTTTCTCTCTATTTTTAAGGAAAATAACATCACCTTTATTTTATAAACTTGAATTTATAAAGTGCTGGTAAATTATTATTATTTTTTTAATGTTTTGAGTTTATGTTTTGAATCTCTAAGGCCAGACCTTAGTCCTAGCATTTTCTTTTGAACTGTGCACTAACGATAGGACTTGTCTTTCCCAGGCGATCTGGTTTCCGTGTCAGGGGGTCCGTCGAGTCTTGGTCTTCCGTTCTTACTCTGTGAAGTAGAGGAGTTTGTGTGCCTTAGACATAGGAGACGTGTGTCCTTTGCTCGAGTGGACAGGGCTGTGAGGGTCTTTAAGCGGTGTGTAGTTTCCCCGTTTCTGCGCAACTGTTGGCGTTCTGCGCGCACTCGCAGGCTCACCCCCGTGGGAGGCCGTGCCGGCTCCTCTCACCTCTTTGTTTCAGCTGCTGCTGCCATGCGCCATCCCTGCATTCTTGGCTGGGGGCACTCCGTTTGTGCAAGTGACCTCTCCCCTAAATGTAGGCACCTGTCAGTTCAGTGGGAAGGTAACTTGGAATCCATTTAGAGTGACGCGCCATCACGTCACTACCACGTACTTCTTTGCAAGCCAAATATTTGTCTTGATAGGTTCCGCGACCCCCGCAGCGCCAGGCCCGTCCTTGCAGCTCGTCTGTGCCTGGGCGTGCGCGGTGCGGGCCGTTCCCCATTTCCACTCGGGCACGGTGCCCTACCCCGCCCTTCAGTTCTCAGTCCTAACTGTCCGGTTTCAGACAAGTCGGCCTTTTTCTCCCGTGCGCCCTTCAGGTGGCAGATAGGGAAAAGCACCAGACTCTGATGTCAGTGTTAGAGAATGTTCTTACGTGTCCATAACGTGTCGGTCCTTTCTCCCTTTGCACGGTGGGGAGGTGCAGGCTCCTTCGACTTGGACGCGGGGCGCGCTGCCCTCCTCGGGGCTGGGAGCCCCCAGGGCACCGCGCTTCCTCGGTCAGGGGGACGGCCCTGGAGGGTGCCTTGACCGTTGGCCCGTAATTGCGCGTAGGCTGCCCTTGACTTCCCTCACTCTGAAAATGGTGATAGATGTCATATCCATTAATTTATTTAAATTCTTCTTAAGCTTCTCTGTTTTCTATCTATTCTCAGGGTTATAACTCCATGTTTACCATCATCCACAAAAAGGTACCAAAAAAATCCATAAGTGAATATGGACTACGTTCATACTAAGTCCTTTGGCTAAAGTGATACTTGGACCACGTAGGCTTCGTCAGCAGACCGTTCTCATCTCCAGACTGCTCTGACTGGTCACTGCCTCGGCTGGCCAGCCAGTGACTCACTACCCATTTTGGTCAAAGTGGTCACACACTTGTTTCTGGGAGAGGACTTCGGGTTCATCTGCAAAAGTGAGAATGGCCTGGTGACCGGGAGCGCGGCGAGCGTGCGTGCTTGCTCCACACACGAAGTGAGAGCCGCGCGCGCCCTAGGACCATCTTTGTGGGTATTTTTGGTCATGGTGCTATTTGCTGAAGTTAACTTTGAATATGTGACATACACTCCTAAGTACCTTTAAGGAACATTAATAAATAATTACTAGTTCAGGATGTTTACATTGAGCACTAGAACATGTCTGACTTTTTCTACTTTATTAAGATGTGCAGGGATTTGATGCACAGGTGTACTTTAATGTTTGGGATCCGTTTGGATTTTTCTTGTGAAAAAGAGGGCTGCAGGTTGAATGTGCGCTGATCCGGAAGTAAATGCTGTAACTTTGTGTTGCCTGAGGTGACGGGGCGGCGGGCGCCGCGGGCTGTGTCCAGGGCGCCGACGTGCCCACTCTGGGCCACACAGGGGTTTGAAGTATGTAGGTTTGCTTGTTTGATGCTTTTGAAAGACTGTTTACCAAGAAAAGGTTTCAAACATTTAAATTATAGGCGAGCTTTTTCTTTCATATCATTACTTAAAAAGAATATACTGACGATGTGTAGTCACTTTTGAATAAAAGGAAAAAAGTTTACCCCGTTTTCAGATACTGCCTAGGTTGGTCATTCTCCCTTTTTTATTTTAGGGTCTAATCTAATTCTTTCTCAATTTAGTGTCCTTGGAAAAGAAGGATAAAGTCGTTGCTGCTTCCGAGTTAACACACACATGCCCCTTCTGTGTAGTTGAGCCTTGTTCCAAAAGAGGAGACTGGTTTTATGAACAGAAGTGCAAATGGGGAAAAGAGGCCTAAAAACCCACAAAATACTGTCTGCAGGGTCCAAACCCAACCGAAGACGTGTCAGTGGGCGCGCACTGTGGCCGGGCGCCCTCGCCGGCGACGCTGGGGCCGGCACCGGGCCCCTGCAGCCTTTCTGGCCTTCAGACTCATCAGAACACAAGTGAAACGAAAATCGAAATGGCGCGTATCTCTTCTGTCATTACAGACTGTTTGTGCCACCTGAAACATTCTTTAGAGGTGTAGGTCAGTCAGGATGACATCATTCAAAGTACAGACAGTATTCTCGGTTTTCCAAAAATCAGTTCTGCTGACATTTTCAGCTAGCCCTTTAACGGCCGGGAGTCTTTGCCTTTTTAGAGCGGAAAGGCCAGCTCCGTTGTTTTCATCAATGTCAGAGTGCTGACTGCGTCAGGGGGCTCGTCTCGCAGGTGTCACCAAGCACTCGAGGAGTGTGCTGGGGGGCTGGGGGGCTGCCTCAGGGGAGGGCCTGAGCCAGAGCCGCCTCTCCGTGCCGCTTGGCGACGTTGGGGTGGACCGAGCATCCTTCAGGTCGCGCGGGCTCAGCACATGCTGACCTGAGCTGTAGAGCGTGACGGTGATGACCGCTGTGTCCATTTTAAGTCCAGTTCTCACAGCTGTTTCCCTAAGTTATCACTGTCGCTGAGGGCCGCGGGAGCTCGCCGCCTTCAGAGGTTCTTCCCCGCTGCTCAGCTGGCCAGTCAGCTTCCCGCACTGGTCAGCGTAGAGAGCCAGGCCAGGAACAAGAGGGGCCCTGTTTGCTCTCGGCTTGCGGCCGGGCCTCACACAGTTGGGCCCCCAGACCTGCAGGCTCCACGTGGCTCCACGCACTGGTCGTTTCGTTGAACCTAACAGCGCTAGAGCGTGTCTTCTGGTCAAATTTTAGTTTCTCAGTTACTCCTGAGGTAAGTTTGGGCATTTGGGCAGCCGCCGCGGAAGGTCTAGCTGACTTGGGCTTGAGCTTACTGTGGGCATCGCGGCTGCGACCGGCGCCCCTGGCCGTGCGCCCTGTTGGTGGACACCTCGCCCCTTGGCAGCCAGTAGTCGCGTGTCGAGCGGACCTTTGGTGTCTAACCCCAGTGGGGTTGGTTTTCTAGGCGCTGTCCCGTGTGAGGCCTCGGCTCTAGGGCCCCCCTTTACCGTGGGCCGCCTGCGCTCACCTGGGCGAGGCGTCTAGTGGCCACTCCTGCGTCCCGGTGCCGCCCTCCAGCCCTGGGTTTCCACGTGCTGAGGTAGCAGCATGGGTACCAGGTTTCATGTGGCCGTGTGGCCAGAAGCTGCCCGCAGCAGCAGGCAAAGCCCGCGTGGCTCGTGCCCTCGGCGAGCACCTCAGAGCAGTTCCCGCTTGCGCTGGATCCTAACGGGAGGGCGGTGGCCACAGAGAGCTCGGGAGGCCCCTCCCGACGCCTACTGAGGCGCT